TTAGTGGTTAAACCCGAAACCGGTTTAAGAAAACACAACTCGGATTGGAATCAGTGAAATTTTCAAATCATCTGTCCATCTTCTCTGACTCTCTCAAATTGAATCTCAAGTTTTTGATTCTGCGATTAAATTCCCGACGAAGAATTCCGATTGTGACGATTTCTCCTTCCGATGCATAGTCGCGATTGAGAATTTTTATCCTCTTTTTTTAAACGAAAAGTTGATCGCCGGAATCGGGCTCTTTTGTGTTGATTTGGCTCCATGTTCGCCAGAAAATTTCTACAGAAATCCTCCGGCGGTCAGAAGCCTTCTCCAGCTCCTCCGCCTCGGGTATTAATTCCTCGTCTCTTTTATTATACTCTATGCTAGAGGAATAATTAAAGCTTCCATTTTGATGCTTCTCGAATCAATTCCACTTAGTAGTACATTAGCTTAGGCTTTCTGAGTTCTGGGCTCATCTGTATTGTTGTTTTGGAATTCGATGCCTTATATATTCCTCAAGTTGTCAAATTTGCAAATATTTTCTTTGAAGTGAATGGTTTAGAAGTAGTCGATGTCAGCCATATTTGGCTTTGGATATAGGACTCAGTATATGTTGGAGTTGACAACTTCAGATAAGAAATTGTACTTGAAATTTTCGATCATTGAGCTAGCTTGAGAGAAAGAAGACTCCTCTAGGATTGAACTCAACCTGCATAACATTAGTTAATGTCATGCTTAAGATAGGTTGGGACATGTACTGGCAGGCATTGTAGGATTACTTTCCTCACCTTAGACAGCTCCAAACCTTTTTCCAAGCCGAGGATGCTTGTTCGCTTTAGATCTTCACGTGTAGTATGAATCTTTGCAGGGATGTTTGATAAAAGAAGACTTGAATCCCCATATTGTCACCCACTGTGGGATACCTTCAACGGCATCTCTTCTTGCCTTTGACCCTATTCAATGCCTCTTGGCTGTGGGAACACTGTAAGTTTTTCTTGTCGCCTGGCCACTGCTAAGACAGTGCTTCTGAGTCCGAAAAGAATATCAGTTGATGATCTAGATGAAGGGAGAACTTAAAAGAATTCTGGCTAATTGAATCTCTCTTTAGTTCTTCTAGAACCATCTCTGTGGGTTATATAAATTTTATTTGTAACTTTAAAAGTTAATGTTCTTTTTGCTTAACCTTTGCAGAGATGGAAGGATAAAAGTGATTGGTGGTGATAACATTGAGGCGATTCTTGTATCTCCCAAGCAGTTACCTTTCAAAAACTTAGAGGTTTGTGGTATAATGTTCACCTCCTGGTTTATTGAGAGGTTATAATCATATTCAGTTTCATATTATTGGTGCCTAATTATATAGTTTCGAAGTAGTTCCTTTTCTATTTCCTGATGTGCTTGCTAGCTTCATTTCCTTTCTTCCTAACACTGGTTTACAAAAAGTTCAATCACATAATAAACTAAATTTTCTGTTCAAATATTTGTCGCTTCGATCTTCTTTCGGTGCTGTAGTGGGAAAAATGGTATTTCTCTAGTCTATCCCTTTCTGGAGAGATCAACTCTAGTCTATCACTGCATAGGGATATTTATTATGGTCCTCCCGCTTTGTGATCCCAAGTATCTGTAACTCCACTTGACATTTTATCTGTTCTTTTTTACAGTTCATTGAGAACCAAGGCTTTCTGGTCAGCATCTCAAATGAAAACGAAATCCAGGTACTAGTTCCCTGTGATGTTTGAAATTTCTATATATTCCAGCTGATGTCTTCACTTCTATTTGGCCTTCTTCACTCTCATCTTGTAATCGTCCACCCCTTCATTTTGCTCAAACAGCCTAGCTGATCAACTACGTCAATAAATTTTCACTATTTATTAGGTTTGGGACTTGGATCTTAGGCAGATAGCGTCAAGCTTACACTGGGAGTCGAACATTACTGCATTTTCAATCCTTCCCGGCACCGGTTACATGTACTGAGCTTGTTTAAAAGACAATTTGTAGCAACGTGATTCCATCGACACTTACTACGGCGTCATTAACTTTTTTTATCATCTCGTTCACAGGTATGTTGGTGATGAGTATGGTATGGTGTCTGTTCTAAAGTACAATGCTGACGAAGGGAAACTAGTGCAGCTTCCTTATTACGTTCCAACTGATGCTTTAGCTGGTATGGGGCTTCACTTTCAATGTGATAATCATATGTTTAGAAGCTTTACTGAGTTTAGAAATTTTTAGCTTTCAGGATTGAGTTGAGTCATTGGTTATTAGTTTGTTTCTTAGTTAATGACTATCTCCCTTCACCAAACTATATGAAAAGTAAATCCTTGGCAGGGAACCTTTTTTCAAAGTAAATTCTATTGGAACTTCAGATTAGATGTAAACACACACAAAAAATCCGTGCTGCGTTTTAGTGTTCTTTRAACATATTTTCTCCCATTTCCCACGTTTTGCAGAAGCAGCGGGCCTTTCATCTCCTATTGATTATCCGGTTGTTGGAATTCTTTCTCAGCCTTCTTCAAGGGGAACTAGGTGAGACATGATTTATTTTGATTTTGTACTTTTTCTTGTGACCTGTAGATGGAAAGCATTTGTGCCTCTGAAATTAACTATATTGGCTTGTCTGTAGATCGAAATAAGCTGGTCTTTTCGTACTGCCTCTATCAATTTCTTATCATGTCCCCCTACTGTTAAGGTTAATTTTGAATAGCATCTGAAATTACCATAGCTGGAAAGAGTGAAAGCATTTACTGAACTTCATGTCTAACTTGAAAGACATTGTTTCATTTTTTTTTTGACTTGTGATCTAGTCCGGACTAAAGAGATAAAACCTTCTTTTTGCTATGCTATTTCAGTGTATTATTAGTAAGAATACGCAAGAATCCCATCTTCTAAGGTTTATACTTTATAATGACAATTATCCTGCAGATTGTTGATTGCATTTTCAAATGGATTACTTTTTCTTTGGGATGCATCAGAAGATCGTGTCGTGGTAGTTCGAGGGAACAAAGATCTACCCGTGGAGGGTAAGACAGTCGGTGATTCTCTGGAAGCCTCACACGATGAGCTTTCTGATCTTGAACTAGATGGAAAAGAGATAAGTTCTTTGTGTTGGGCATCAGCTGATGGTTCAGTTCTTGCTGTTGGTTACGTGGATGGGGATATATTATTCTGGGACTTTTCTGATGGGCAAAAGGGGAAGCCATCTAATCATGCTGTTAAGTTACAGTTGTCTTCGGCTGAGAAAAGACTTCCTGTCATTGTTATGCATTGGTGTTTAGATGTATCTCGCAAGAATTGTGGTGGAAAACTCTTTATCTATGGTGGTGATATCATCGGTTCTGAAGAAGTACTAACGGTAAGAACTCAGCTCAAATAAAAATATTAATAGTCCCAAATTGGTGAACTTGGGTGATTTATTAATTGAGTTTCTTTCTAAATAGAAACATACAAAGCCGTTGCATGTTTTAATGGCTCAATGGAAACCCAAACATGCACTCTTACCTTCTATATGCAAACGGATAGCCTAATATGATGTTGTTTTACTGATCACCTTATGCAGATGTTGGGTCTTGACTTGTCTTCTGGTATGGGAGGTCTGAAATGTGTTGGCCGTGTTGACCTGACCCTTAGTGGTTCATTTGCTGATATGGTCTTGTCTCCAATTGCTAGTTCAAGGCAA